AAACTTGGATTCTTTGAGGACTAATACAACCAGGAGGCCAGACACATCACGGAGCATTTCCAGCTACTTTCCTTGCAGTCGGCCGGACACAGGAAAAATTAACACAAAAACGTTTTACTCGAAATCATAGAAATATGATATGCATCATAGAAATCATGGAAATCATAGAAATTTAAATTACATTGTTTATAGCCAATTAATAAATTTTTTAAAAACTTTCTGTGTGACCTTCGCTTGGCTTCGGTGAACAACGTATTGTAGCTGTCAAATGCAAAACAGAGCGTGCCTTTTCAGACAAATTATGGAGGAAATCGAATATTACGAAAACGAAACGGAAACGACGACCTTCGCTGAAACGGCAGGATGCGGAAAGGACATGACGATTCTGCTTCTGGGTGAATCAGGCGTGGGCAAATCAACATTTATCAACGCTTTCGCCAACTATATCTGTCATGAAGGACTGAAAGAAGCGAAAAAAAACGTTATCTGTCTGATATCCTCCTAGTTCACGCATTATGACCCGGACACGTTCCGGACCACATCGGTGACGTTAGGCAATCCGGACAAGAACGAGAAAAGTGATAACGTATCTGGTACACAGTCGGCCAAGTGCTACACCTTCGAGACCGGTGATGGAACGGTGCGGCTGATCGACACACCCGGCATTGGCGACTGCGCTGGCGTGCAGACCGACGGCACCAACATGCGCAATCTCCTGACGTTCCTATCACAGTACAAAGAGATCAACGCCATCTGTACAGTGTATCCTGCTGAAGCCCAACAACGCACGCGTCTCCGTCGTCTTCCAGTACTGCATTTTTGAGCTGCTGAAGAACTTAAACAAGAGCGCCAGTAAGAACATCCTGTTTCTCTTCACCAACTCGCGGAATACTTTCTATGCGCCCGGCGACACGGCACCCACACTGATCAAGATTCTGGACACCATCAAAAGCCGACCGCCCCATGTGGCCATTCCGTTTGGCGCGCAAAATGTCTACTGTTTCGACAACGAAACCTTCCGCTTCCTGGTGGCCACAGCGCCCAACAACGTCCAGTTCTCTCCGGACAACGAACGGGACTACGGAGCGAGTTGGGATCTCGGGGTGGCCACGTGCCAGAAAATGATGCAGTACATCCGCTCCTTGCCACCCCATAAAGTGGAGGACACGATCTCCGTCAACAACGCCCGCACTTCCATCCAGGTATAGATTACAGTTCCTAAACACCAAGCGCTGTTTCTGTTAAAGAATTGTCTAGGAGTACCGAAAATCGTCCACATTCTCCGCACCTCCCTCGCATGGATGTTTCCTCGAGAGTTGTACAGACTGGACCAGGTTTTCCGCGACGCGGTCGAATCCATCACCAATGTGCGGATGGATCACCCGACGTGGCTACAAGCATCACTGCCCGTTCGTCTGGGTGGTTTGGGGATCAGACGCACCGAGAAGCTAGCTTCCCCCGCCTATTTGGCATCGGCTTCTTCGTTGCATCCGCTGATCTCCAAATTGTGCCCTACGTTGCCCGCCACGGATATAACCACTGCTACACTAGCATGGAAATTGTTAGCGGATACGGACGAACTTCCTAGTGAGGCGTTCAGGCATGTCCAGAAAGCGTGGGATACACCGGCAATACTACATGCGTTTTCCAGTTTGACTGAATTACGGACTACAAAAGAAGAAGTCGCACACTTGAAGGCGGTGTCAGTGCCTGAATCCGGTGTATGGATTTATGCTTTGCCTGCAGCATGTCTCGGAAACTTATTGGACAACAACTCCTTCCGTATAAGTGTAGCGCTACGTCTGGGAGCACCAATAGTCACTCCCCACGTGTGTGTTTGTGGCGGACAAGTCGATGAATTGGGCCGGCACGGGCTCCGTTGTAAGCGGTAAGCCGGAAGGCTGCCACGGCATGATGGCATCAGCGCGGAATTCACCCGCGGACTGAAGACTGCCGGTTTTCCAGCGAAAATGGAACCAAAAGGTCTCTCAGTGAAAGATCGCAAGAGGCCGGACGTGATCACTCTTATACCCTGGGAGCGCGGTAAACCGCTTGCTATTGACGTGACCTGCGTTGACACACTCGCTGCTTCGTATATCGACCGCACCTTTCTGAACGTTGGAGCCGCTGCCGAGCTGGCGGAACGGGCCAAACTGATCAAACACGCCTGGCTTTTACCAAGATACAACCTCACAGCGGCAGCGATTGAAATTTACGGACCATGGGGGGATGGTACGAAAATGCTCGTTGACAAGGTTGGAAACGGGATAGCAACCGCCACAGGCCAGAAGCGGGCGAAAGAGTTTTTTAAGCAGCGGCTATCTGTTCAAATTCAACGAGGAAATGCTATATGTGTGATGGGTACAATCCCCGATCAGGATAGCATTGAGGAAGTGTTTTTCTTATGAATTTGTGTTGTTTTGAGTACTTAGTTAGTACTTACGAGTGATACTTATTAAAGGTGACTGCCGAGATTACAGTTCAAACTGGATTTTCTTAGGTTTTGCATTTTAGTCTTCATTTCATAAATGTTTTCCAAATCAAATGGTGCTCGTTGTACTTTTAACGATTTAAAAATTGCAAAGACATATTATTCACAGTTACGAGTACATGGGTGGTAATTCATTTGAAAAAAAGAAAATTCAGTTAAATCAATTTGATAACCGAAAACGATTCAAACTCTGTAATAAAAAGCCAGAACACTGGAAAACATGAAGTAAATAACCGTAATAGCCTAAACAATAAAACATTTCTATGCATAACTTGGCGTTTTTCATCTGACCTGTTTCAAAACCAATTCATAACTGCTTCAACTTCTTGCGTGTTCCAGGCGTTGACGCAGCCGCTGGCCGAGATCAGTATGCAGATCGGAGAGAACGTCCGTCTCTGTGAGATACAACGTAAACGCGTCAAGGAATTCCAGGGCAATATTGAACAGCTGCGGAAAGAGCTGTTTACGCCGGCTGTCGACATTATCACCACGCCGTTAGAGCATCCGCGCACAGTGTGCGGTCACGCAGACTGCTGCGAGACCGTCAGCGTCAACGGGTTGAAGAAAGCGCATTAGAAGTCCATCTGTCACGATCGCTGCTTCCTGGATAACGACGACGCTAATTTTGTCGGCAATACGGGCTTGCTGGACTGCAATGCCTTCAATAAGTACGTTAAGGTGGGAGAAACCCGGCGCTTTCGACCGGATAACATGCATCCCGACCAGGATGTGGAGGTAGGAGAGGATGGCCTGGTGGAGGGATACAGTTGCAATCGGGAGAAATCCGAGAACTGTTTCAAGTGTGGGCATTCCTATCAGGTGCACCTGCATATTAAGAGCGTCACCGAGCGCCGCAACATCAAGGTACGCGATGAAGCCAAACGGGTCCAGATTGATTCCGATGAGGAGAAAAAGAAGGCCCAGAAAGCCATGGTCCGCGAGCTGGAAGGGACCATTGCGCAGTGGAAGAAGGAGAGCGACGAGATCAATCGCTGCTTGTCGATCTTCGCCTGCTTTCTCAGCCACAACGCTCTGACACCGTTTAATGACGCGTACGAAGACTATCTCTTGTATCTGATTAAAAACCAGAAGGAGAGTCCAAATGCTGAGGTGCGCGCCAATGCGGTGCAGTTGGAACAGTCACTGCAGCACTATCGCCACGAAAAGGAGACCTTTGCCAAGGCGTATGCCCAGCGCAAGAGTGGTGCGGATATTTCCGCTAAAGCGGTGACACAGGCGATTGAGAGTCTGTTCAAACTGGAGAAGAGCGGTCCCAAGATTAAGAACTTCCTGGAGCTGATGAAGGAAGTCAGGAAGGCCGCGCATGTGGAGCACGCGGAGGTGCAGGTGGAGACCAGTCGCGGTGGCATCCGCAGCCGATTGAAGAAATGGATTCTTGGAAAAGATTAAAGGGTGACTCACTACAGACTACACGGTGCTTGATTTGCTACCATGATTTTGCGGGTGTCGCGCCTTTTGTTTGGCTGCCATCAAACCCAGTTATTACTAGTAATGCTTTAAATAATTTTTCTTCTTTCATTCGACGTTCGGTATGGTCCTTCTTTTAACCTGTTGTGTGCGTTTTCTTATGGGTTCCGTCCGCTTTCGCTTGCTGCCTCCGCCAGAGCACCATTTGTGTTTTCCTCGTTTTTTTGTTCCTGTGAGTTTCTGTGTATTCTCCTTTCTGCTGCTTTCTTCCTGCTGTTATTTTCCACGGCGGATGTGTTCGGCATTAAAAAAATTCGGCCACAATAAACTGTCAACATCTGCCGAACAGGTAAATGGAAGGTTTGAACAAAGGTTTGAACAGGTTTGAACAAATCCCGACCTGTCGTTGTTATTAGAACAGCGTATGCTTTACGTAAAAATAATAAATATGTAACTCTTTTTTGACAAAAAGTTGTGCAGTTGTGGCTAAGCACGCCAGAAGCCGTGCCCCTTCAAACATCTTCCAGAACGGATTCGAATTGCTATGGGAAGCCTGTCAATTGGTTATTCGGCTAAAAAGCTTGGATTAAAAACAATGCATGCTGAAATGCAAGCATCTCTAAACAGTGTACAGCTGTAGTGCAAACTGCAAAATACTCGCTTCCAGGCTCGTTAACGAGCAAAAGCCGGGTTTCGTTTAGTCGACTGGCCTAGTGACAGCTCGTGTGATTAAGTGCGGAACGTTTAGCACCGGATGCGAGAGAAAAACGTGGTGATCACGAGAATGCATACGTCGATCATCGACTAATGCCACAATTATACAGCACTTTCTCCGCTAACACTGCCATCCGAAGGCGTACAAAATCGATCATCGATCATGTTAATGGTGTGTCTTCCGTTGAAAGCGTTACGTCGCTTAGCAGACACGAGCAATAAGGAAGTGCGGCGAACGATTAAATTTCCGAACATCGGCCTCAATTAATGTTAATTTATGTTAATTTATGTTAATTAATGTTAACTGTTTCTTGGATTGCGGCATTCTATTACGCTGGTGCTGGAAACTTTTGACTAATTTCTGATACCGACACATTATATAAAGCTACTCGAGTAGATGTAAACAGGTAACGTAGCGACGTAAGTGATTTTCTCGTTGTTTTCATAAACGTCAGTTTTCCTTATCAATAATGCCTCTACGCGGACGATGCATATGCGTAACAGGTAAAGATTCATTCAGTATTGCACTTAAAATTGTAATATGCGTACAGTGGTATAAAAGCTTGTTCCACGAACCTTTTTCATAATTTTACAAGTACTACTTCAATTTCTTGTATATATATTTTCAATAAAGTATAGAAGTATATTTTTTTGTAAACCGCTTTTCACTTTTGTCATGATAACATCGATATTGACACACCCAAACTTGTTTGAGTAATACAGATGGCTACACAATTTGAAAACTGTAGCTTACTTACCGGCAATGTACATAGTTGGAAGCGTTTTCCTTACGCGGAGTTTTACTGCAAATTCATACGTTTTTCTTCAGTGAGCCTGTCGATGTTCCTGGTTATCGTACGAGCCATACAGAATGCACCTAGTTCCGACCAGAAACCGGCGCCATCTCCAGCTTCCATCCCACCTTTTTCAACAGTCAACAAGTAACGCCTGTCCCTGGAAATAAAGGAAAGAAAACGGGATGCGGAGTACCCAACATGGTGAAAACCGTGCCCATTACGGAGCCGGAACGGGTATGTACGATAACATCATTCCCTTAGAATCTTCTACAACATGCCAACTGTTCATTTCGCTAAGAGCATTCCATATTTGCTGTACAGTTTGCTGGCCACTGGTACAAACATCGCCACTCTGGCCTAAAAACTTTGAACCAGTTTGTGGATCACATTCCGCTGAACCGCACCGGATTGGCGTTTACGAACATTCCGGCCACCGGGATGCTCCTGCACATTTCACAGTACAACAGTGTTAATGATACGGACTGTGTGTATCGGTTGTTTCTCGGCTTATTCGGACACAACGGACAGTGTCCGGGCAAAGCGCTATCTTCGGTAGATTCCGACATACCTGGTACGTTATAATGCTAAGCAATCTGGATTAGGTATTTCACAAATATCTGCATTGATTTAAAAACAAACCAGTTAGTTGAAACTAAACACTTTCGAATTAACGTTTAAATTTGAACAATTTTAAGCAATATTACGCGAATGCATTTTTTGTTATAGTGATGACCTTTGCCCAATATAGAACTGATTTGAATTTCTGTTTAGTGACGAATAATATCAACATGTTGTACGTGGATTATGACCGGGTGACCATCGCCTATATCTGTCGCTCCACCAACTACAAAACCGGCTTTTGTGACCACCCGGTCTTCCACGTATTGACCCGTGCTCGACCGGATAAGATGCCCGCCAAAGAACTGAAGGCCATCGACGACCTTGTGGACCAGACGCTGGCGCCCTACTGCCTTACTGCCGCTGACGTCGACCCGCAGATGTACTCCGACGCGAGACCCTTCTGCAAACCGGCTGATCTCGGGGATACGTGCGCCTTTCGCGCCATGACGGCGCTGACCGAGGACATCAATAACTCCACACAGTATCAGTACAAGGAAATTAAGCCGTAGTCGTTCGAACACCTGGGTTCGGCAACCGATCACGATTGTTACTCTCACGGTCAGTCTTGGAATATGGGAAAGGAATTCTCTGGACATTTTAATGTTTTTGTTTGTTGAGTATTGCTTTGCAGTTTGTGGTTTCAATTTTTTGTACAGTCGACAATTACAGAGGACGAACAGTACGTGAATGTTGTATTCTGGTACCGTTATTGTGATTTGTTAGTTGTGGCATTTTGTGATGCGTTATATGTGTATACGAAATAATAATCATGCAAATTCGTTCGATATTCGCAGCTTTTGAATTTTCGCACTTGTTCAGTCTCACAGAGTTTACTGTATATCTGTTTTTTTTTCAATAACCATTACCTTTTAAATTTTTCAAAAATGGTTGAAAATTGAAAGTAAGATGCAGGTGTCGGCATAGCATACCACGGAAGAATAGCGCAAAATTTTAATTTGCGCGCTGTGCGCATCTAATGCTTGGGATATCGCTTAGATTAAAGTTTTGGAGAACAAGGTAGTTTGGAGACAGTCGTAAAGAATCTCACATGAATCCACATGACGTCATACCAAAGCGACTGTCTCAATGGAAACTTTCATTACTCATGCTTGTACTCGCTACAATGCAACAGTCGCTTTCGTAACGTCCCAGTGAGTCTCCCTGTCACTGGCGGCTGATGTTAGTGAGTGCGAGCTGCGAAACAATCGTCCTGATTTGAAATGTTCAGTCCCCCCTTCACGTATCAAACGAACGCAACTCGAAGCCTCCACGCTTCGTGGAACACAATGCGGAATGACATACTAAACACCATCAAAACAGCTATTCTTCCGTAAACTACAGACTATATTTTTTAGTATGGGGATCCATATTTTTTAGCTTGAGTTTGAGTCTGCTTGACTATGGAACATTTGCAAGCCTACATAAAATGGTTGTGGCAGAAATGCACAGTACAGATATGTGGAAACCTTTATATAATGTGGCCTGGAGACATTAGAGTGTACGAATGACAGTCAGGTAATACTAGAGTTCAATCTTGATGAACTGTTTTTGGCTTTCTAGAACTTTATGTGTATATTTATATTTTTTCCTATAGTACAAAAATACTGCTAAATCTTACTATTTACTTACTATTTACAATTGCTGCTGAATATTATCATATAATTTTTATTTGTTTGATGCAACTCACAACGCTGAAGATTTACTGAATCCTAGAGCCTAGAGACTGGAGTATGCTAATGTCACATGTGGTACATAATTACATTCAAAGTGCTGCTGATGTGTTTCCCCATTGCCGTTGCTCTAGGAGTGCGAGAGGAATGAATGAACATTCCTCTCTCATGTTCATTCATTCATTCCTCTCGCACTCCTAGAGCAACGGCAATGGTTTCCCCTTGCATAAATCGCTACTTCCTTACGCGTATGTACTGTCATTGCCGTTGCTCCAGGTGTCCGAGAGGAATGGAATGAACAGGAATGTTCATTCATTCCTCTTGCACACCTACTCTAGAGCAACGGCAATGGTACTGTACGGTAATATTCTAATACTTTATGTAATGGTAGGCAACAGTTGCATACTTCTTATAACGTTAGTTTTAGACCAAATTTTCTCTGTGATTTAGACCAAATTTTCTCTGTGATTAGGCCGCCGCTGTCGATTGATGCTTAATGAGTGATAGTTTCCGAAGCTTTTGTTCAAAGTACTCGTGTTGTAATTTGTAATAGTGAAAATTGCAAAGCACTGTAAAACAGTCATACACACCGCAAAAAAAAAAACGTTAGTTATAAAAATCTTTATAATCTTTATTCTTTCCTTATAAACCAACTTACTGGCAGATACCATATCAACTATAAATAACTTCAGTTACTGCATTACACATAATTATGTAAGTATCGTCACTCGTCAGTACCTAGGGCCAACAAAGCATCGCTCGACAAGCATAAAAACTGCAGGGACAATTCACATGTTTCATTGGCAGGCCAACAACTTTTGCAGGTTGCTGACATTTTGTCAACTTAAAGTCGGTTAGGCGGTTAGTCATGCATGCAATGTTATAATTAAATTTTTCTCATTACATACACATACGATGATTTCCAGCGTAGATGGAAAACGGCCGTTATCAGGTTCTCCCGGATGTAGCTAGTTAAGATAATAAAAATATTTTATACTAGGTCGTCACATTCGCTTGAGCAGATGTCTATTGTTTCTACAGTAATTATGGTGGCGCCAGCTTTAAGCAAACAATTTGTTTTGAATGCGCTGACCTAGATGCCCGCGCGGAAAGAGATAGCGGCATGTGACACTTCTCTGTTATAAACCGTGTGGAATGTAACAATAAATACCTCATATCCCTACTCATTCCACATACAGCCTCATACTCATTCCACATTTGACGGACTTAGTCGGACTACCCTCGTATGGTTCTCGTATTTTAATCATCTTTGCTTTACGTATCCCGCAATCGTTTCGTGTGCATTGTGCAAGGCTTCGCACTATTACAAGGTGCCACGAATATGGCCGTCCAAACAGCAGCACAACCGAATTTGGCCGTCCAAACAACAGCACAACCGAATATGGCCGTCCAAACAGCAGCACAACCGAATTTGGCCGTCCAAACAACAGCACAACCGAATATGGCCGTCCAAACAGAAGCACCGCCCGAGTCAGAGTCGCCTTTAAAGGTTACTTTACGTTGCAAATGTTTTGATTTTCAACATTTTAGACTAAATTAGCGATTAAATTTATTATGGTAGAGACTAATAACGCAATAAACGATGATAATCGTAAAACAATATTGCCCTTAACCGAGCGTAGAATTCAGAGGGTTTACTTGAATAGAGGCTACAATGCTAACTTTTCTGCATAATTTAAAGGTAACTTTAATTTACATACTACTAACTCTGTGCATAATTTTAAGTAATTTAAAGCAGAACAGAATACTTTTTTCCAGAATACGTTTAGTCGTGCTGTGAACTGGAAATCTGCGGAAGCAAGCTGATAGTCGTGTGACAGTATAAGGCATATGCTGTGTTCACATAAACATAATTATTATTCGTATTACACTGATATACATATTACGTGCATTGGCTGTTGCCGGATAAAAAGGAACATGAATTTTTTTAACAATGACGTATGGGTCATTATTTCAATAAACTGGCTTCGCTAACAATTGAATCAGCGCTCAGTCGATCTAGCCAAAATTAACTGATTTGGTAATATTCTTACCGCAGTAGTCTATTAACGTTACACAGTATTAATATTGAAACGAGGCCGTCGTTTTCAACGGCTCCGTGGAATCTGACCGCAGAGAGGACGATTATCTGTAATTATCTGAAATATTATTAATGATTAAGTAGAGTACCTAAATTATCTACGATCAACGGTTTTTTAACATTTTAGGAGAGCTGCGCATCAAAGTGAACGGTAGTCTTGTTGCACTGCGAATTAGAAGAAACGACGCTATAGGAAAAACGATCTCGCTTGCAACCCATGGTGCCGCCGCTGGATTCAATATTTGGACACTGAAGAAGAACGCCAGCCGTAACGCGTGAATAGAAGCTGGAGTAATGGCGGCTTTAAACATTGGAATGGCGATTTTAAATGTAACTTTGTACTGCATTTCGAGCCAAGATATAGAAGATTTGGAAAAAGAGTACAAGAAGATTTTGGAGCTAAAAGAAAAAGGACTAAAGCTCCAGAAAGAAATCGACCTCGCAGGCGAAAATATAATGCAGTACACAGAAGCCCGCGCAAGCGGCATAGACATCAGCCGATACCTGTAGCATCGACAATTTGCCAGGTCATTGGTCTAAAGGCGCCGTGTATCCGCCGTCATGATACTTCATACTAAGTACTTTAATGCGCTTTTGTTAGGACATAGCAGGTCAAAGTTTTAAGGCATACGTGGGTAACGGTTCTCCAGTCGACCGGAGAGCGAGATAATGACATAATGATATTTGACGATTTTATTGTCCACTGTCTTAACCTATTTTCGAACTATTATCATGCGATCGGTGATACGAAGTCAATTTAAAATAATGTCAATTGTAGTATTACGATAACCAGCGTGAAGAACTTCTGAGTACTTATCAAATTTTTACCTTTTTGGTTTTACTTAATTCGATTTTTCTGTTGCAGTTGGTAGATGGGAATATGCGCGTTTTACGTCTTAATTGTTTAATGCTGTATTGCCCAGTGTTGTTAACGCTTACTGAAGTATCTACAGCGTACTGGTTACGAATAACTAGCTAGCTACCGATAAAACGTATTCTTGCTGGAATCAAAAACCCAACGTTAAACGGCCACCGAAGCTAAGGCTCTGCGCACCTTTGTCGGCTGCCTATTACTTTCGGTGTCGCACCCGAATAACATTAGCCGATTTCTGCTTGAATTAACTGTTAGCATAAGTTGCTTCGCGTAAGTGTTGTATGATCTGTTATGGTAACGGTAAATCTTTGACGATAGTAAACGTTAAGCTAACGGTAAATGGCTACCGTAGCGGTAAAATGTTATGTCATAGTATCCTTTAACGGTATCCTGAGCCTATTACATTAGCTAGAATTCGGAAACGGAAGGTTAGTGCAGTAACTGTAATCGGTTCAGCAATTGCTACCGTAGCGATGATCTGCTAGCATAATTGTAGTTTTTAATGGCAGAAGTCTACAGATCTTTATAGTAACGGTAGACGTGTTGCGTGTTAGCGTGAATTTACGGTAACTTTGGATTTTCACGGTAGCGATGACTGAGACCGTGATTCATTACGCTGACGAAGCCCGTAACGGTTAACAGAACTCGTTACAGGAACCTAAGTCAGCTACAAAAAAATAAAAAATTAACACATGCACTGATAATCGGTACGGTAACGGTTCATTAGGGCAACAGTGTACCGCTAATGGCGTTAAGTCTGAAGATGACATTATGTTCTGTGATTGGTTGCAGTAGAACAAACATTCTCGTTAAACTTCAACTAAAATGCTAAAGGTAACCCGCCTGACTGTGAGATGGCGGATAATGCTATGTTCCAACTTACAGCGCTAACGTAAACACTGAAAAGCAAAAAGTATGGTTTCCTTGTGGAGGCAGATAAACCTGGAAAATAAGCGCCTTAGAATCGCAGTTGTGTAGTTTAAGAACTTGAAAGTCACTAAAGGTCACGCGACGCCCTTAAGTTCCGGGTCGCCATGTCTTAGAACCGCAGTTTCCGGGTGTCGGGAACCCAAAGGCCACAGCGATTACTAAAGGTCACCCGGCGACCTAAAGGTCAGGGTCGCCGTGTCTTAA